GTACTGATTGACTTGACAGGGTTTGCAATACGTTAATCATTGTTATTAGATTTCCTCTTTCCAGAGGTAAATAGTAGGATGCTACTATAATAGGACTAGTCGAACTTTACATCTATTATTGCGATCCTGAGCAAATTCATAACATGTACTGCAATTAACACATCACCCTCCTCTTCTTATGAAATTAGTTTGAAACGAGCACGCCAAAACCGACTGACAAAATAGCACGTGGTATTCTAAATTACCAAAATTATATTAAAGCCAATGCACCCATTGAATGAATATATTTATAACGGTCGATTGTAAACTAGCAAATATGCAATTTATATATATGTTATCTTTGTCGATTTTTTTGTCCAAATTATTTAAATAAGCTTTCCGTGTTGCGTACATCTCCCATGCTGCTTTGAGTCTTTGTCCAGTTACAGGATTCGAAGATTTCATGCCGTCGTGGACAAGGAAGGCGTTTTTTAAAACCTTGAACTTGTATCATACAGCAGCAAGCAGGGCAACCTAAAATCAATAAAGAAATGTATAACATTGAAATGCGTTAAATATGATGAAGTTTTATGACGATTTTTCCAAAGTGCTAGATAATAGTATTCAAACCAACAACAGACAATAAAAACTAAATATTTTCTACAAACCCAACGTTTATTTGTATATTCTAGCCTAATTAATTGTTATTAGTGCGGTTCCGGACGTTTTACTCAGAGTATATTGCCAATGCTATGATTCTTATATAGATGCTTTGCCAAGTTGCTTATTAATTAATACCGAGTATGTATTTACAAAACAAAATTGCCCTTATGTTTGTAAGAAATCATATTTATCAATTTAATATTTATCATATTTAAATCATATTCATGAAACATCGACGGGTATTATTTCACGATCCCAGTTTTCCAACTTTTTGAATCACGACGGCACTTACAAGATGTTTTACAAAACACTGCTATTATTCTTCAAACTCTCCTGTGTACCCATCCCGATGATTGCATCAGTTTCCCGTAATCTGTTGTTTCTAAAACGTTTTGTGCGATGTGAACGACAAAATAGATATAAAGTGTACATATATATAACGAGTAACTGTCAAATTTTTTTCAGACGGTTCCATCACACAAATGTCATATTTTCAACCGGTTCTGTTACAAAAAGTCATATTTTTTTAGTAATGCTAACCGGTTTGCTGATCTCATAAAACTCCGTGAGACGGTTCTATAGAAGCGGTGCGAATCGGCTGAATCCCACTACGACTCGTAAGCGTATAAAAGAGCAAATATAACCTCACTTACGTGATGCACATCTACTTGCGAATGTCCAAATAACGTTTCATTGAAAAGTGCCACTCCTCTCCTAGCAATAAAAACGGTTCATAATAGACCTTAGTCATTTAAAACCCATCCTACGCGCAAAAACAAAAGTGACGTAAAATTTTTTTTTTAACATTAGCTCTTATAGGAAATGCGATCACCAGAGCAGAAATTTGCATTTTTTGGGGATTTTCTAGCAATATTTTAGTATGGGCGTGTGCAGTTTTGAAGATAGCATATTTTTCAGATAGTTTTCGATATTTTTTATCACAATAAACACGGTCAAGTTTTATGATAATCGTTCATCGAAATTTCAATAGGCGTGGTGTTTTCACTGACGTAACTCTCGCTATACCATGACATTCTGCCAACCTGCTCCAGTACGTGAAATATACGTAAGCGGTAATGTCGCCCCGGGTACTGAAACCGTTGAAGGTTTGTACTACGTTGCGGGTCGACCCCCCCCCCCCCCCCCCCTTTCGAAATGTAAAAAAAATACTCTATCATAGGTAGCAATTTTCCTTAGCTTGAAATGCTTTTCAGATCCCCCATACTGCTAAAAACACGCGTATTCCAGCGTTCGATCGGACCCGCTAGCAGTTTCGATCTAACTTGGCAAAAAAAATTAGACCCCCCCCCCCCCCATTTCAAAATTTCTGGCTACGCCCCTGTATGACAATTCGTAATAAAAATGAGTGTCGCAAGAAAGGTAACATAAGGGAAACACGCCGGAAACGTATTTCCTTGCCCATCGCACAGTGTCTGGTTTGATTTCAAGTAATATCTGTCACGAAAAAATACAATTTGAAGCGACATTAAACGCGAGATGCGCAAAATACAACGATAATTTTCGGGAATTAACTTTAAAATAACTGAAGGCTTTATATATATCTTCTTTAAAAGAACGCCACCCATGCAACATAAAAATAGTCCGATTAGAACGATAAACTCTCGTTGTTTATTAAATTTAAAGTAAGTAAACTCGCGATATTTCAATCACTTTTGGGTTTTCTCCGACTTGCGGCCCGCGAGACCTCCTCAAAAGTTTTTGCGGTCCTTCATCCTAGCAACCTTGAACCACTCTGAGGTATAGACTACTAGGTACCGGTAAATTTTCAAACTATAGTTGTAATTTGTATTCTTTGGTATTTCGATTCACGTTGAGACTGAAGGCATGGATCTCCATTGTCACACTCCCTCAGGATTAGAGCTCAACCGATATATCGGCCCGATATTGCGTGTTTGCCGATATATATATCGGCTATATATAACAGTTAAAAAACCTAAAAATGTTCGTAAAAGTTGTTTTATTTACTGTTGGTTGTGATTATCTTTAATGGATAATACACTTATGTTGTTTATTGTTTTTATAATTAAATTACACATGAGGGGGCACCAAAGTCTGCAGTTCTTAGGGCACCAAAGGGGTTTAATCCACCCCTGCATATAATATCATACTTTAGTGTTGAATATGTTCCCTCCATGAAGGGCTTCGGTCGTTACACCAGATATCAGAGGGTTTAGCAAATTTAGATGAAAGATTCATTAATGACTTGTCAAAACTTACTGAAATACAAAAAAAAAATAGTAAATGAGACTACACACAACTCATCGACATTTATCTTTGAAATTATTTCAGTCATGAATGAAAGACTAAATAAACTTTCCAATGAGATCTTTCAGAACATCCGTTATATAATGGCTTAGAAGTTACATTGGTTTAAAACAACGAATATTACAAATTTGCAGCGCGTCAAATTCATGCTTTACCATGGGAGTTCAGGGTGAGAGAGTAGCGTCGTTCTGGGAACTCAGAGTTCAAAGAGTAAAAACAAAATAAACAGATATCTCTACATGCATTAAATAGCAGTTGAAGAATGTTGAACAAATAAGCGTCCTCGTAGGTTGAATGAGGGTATTATATTTTATACATATAATATCATACTTTAGTGTTGACTATGTTCCCTCCATAAAGGTCTTTACACCAGATATCAGAGGGTTGTCGTTGATGCACATAAAAAACACGTAAACATCTATTTTTTTTTGAATGTATTATATATGCTAGGCAATTCTGGGAATGATGTAATATTGAGCCTCCCCATTACAATGTATGGGGTATGTATGTACAATTTATGGGGGCAAGGAACAAAATGGAAAACAATGAATGATGGATACTTGGAAAAATCTGTTAGGCTCTGAATATGTGGATGGTATTATATTGTAAACTGCACAATAAGCTTCATGTGTAGCGTACCGACAGTCTATGAAATAATGATTCAAGTTCAGAATATATTCCAATATTTTCAAGTTTCCTCTCAATATTCACTTCAATTTATGCTATTTTGTTCTATTTATTAATTACCAATCTCAACACAACCAAATACTCCAAACAAAACGACAAGCATACAACAAAGCGACAATTACCGGGCAGCACAATGCAAGAAAACAGAATATACACAATAAAAACGGTTCCCGTACATTTGAACCCACGACAATTGCAAATGCATATATTGCACCTATGGAATTTTTTTGTTTTGCGGATATTTGAACCCATACTAACCCTGACCCATGGGTTTCAGACCCCGTATATAGATTGAACCCGCGGATATACACATGGGTTCAAATGAACGGTCACCAATAAAAACACTTTGAACAGTACTGATGATAGCTAATTCCCTGACAACAACCAAAAATACAACGCTAAAATAACTGCAATGGCACTGTACTAAACAATTATATCAGACTACTGTCTAGCATTAAAACATTCAAAAAATCCCCCTCCCGCAGTTACAAAACCACAAACAAACAACCCTGATAACTAGGGTTGGGATTTCGGGACCAGTTTTTGAAATCCGGTATCGGGATATCCCGGGACTACGCTGTATAATCCCGAAATTTTTCGGGATTACGGTAAAAGATTGAAACAACTTGCATGACAAGAAAATCACTTATTTCTTTCATGTAATATCGACGCAGAAATTTTAGAGCATTGGTTCCCAACCTTTATTACGTCACTGCACTCTATTTAGCTCTTTAATTATTCGCGGCACACCTATCACAAAACACGAACATTTTCTACCCATAAAGAGTGTGATAGTCGAACGCGAACAAATGGCTAATAGTTACCGGTATTAGAAATTTTTTCTTACATTAACGTAAATGAGACCGTCTTCGGAGCACCTTACATTATTGTAAAAGTTGCGCGGCCGCACGGGTGATACGTGGTCATCAAACGCTCCGCCGATCACGCGCTTCGGTTTTGCTCGCCCTTCCCTATTCCACGTTACGCCTTTATGATCATCACATGTATTCCCACTTTTTCGCAACCTTATTCATGTTTGTTACAATTCAGTATGTTTCTCCCATTGAATCAATTCAATCATTCAATAATGTTATTGTCGGCAGTTGCGAGAGAAATGAAAGTGGCAAACAAACTTTAATTAGATTATTGTTAGAAAGCGACTAAAACGAGGTATATCGGGTCGCTTTTACGTACCTACTCCCCAGCGTTTTTCTAATATATATATATACAGTTTCAGTTAGACATTTTCCTAAATTTCAAAATGGTCTCTGATCCATTATTTTTTTGACATGCGATTTGGATTTCTTAGGTCATTTTTTCATTATGTCAGCTCCATACCGTACTGACTAATGGTATCTTAATATTTAATTTAAATATGATAAATCATGACTCTCCCAGCTTCACAGGAACTCCAACAAACCCTGTCATTGAGCATGGAAGGTGCACCGCTCCATATTAGTACATTGAACAGCGATGGGCTAAGCACACTTTCATCTCATGACGCAAGTGGCTCCAGTATGAATTCCAGCATTTTCAGTTCTGGATCTGATCCGATGTCCATATCAGAATTAGTGGTAACTGTTTTTATTGTGCTTTATTAGGCATGTGCGTGTACTCTATTTATTAAGACTAACTTTCTTATAGTTGGAATAAATACAACGAAATGATTTCATTTTCAGAGTGGAATTCAAGGTCTCCATATGGGACCAAGTCGCAATTCATTATCTGGTCGATCCACTCCAATTGTGCCCAGTACTACAGACTGGTGCGATGCGTCCACTCCGCGACAATATTACAACCCCGATGGCGACATTGGCATGATTGACCAGTTCTCCTCAGAGCAACTGTTGGATGTTGCTTCATTATATGGAGTCTCTGAGAAAATGGAATATGACGCAAGACTTCATCGTTCCGCTGCTGGTAAAGTTTATTTTATCGATTTTCAAAGCAGAAATATGAATGTTAATTTATTGCCAGAGCAATCAAAAAGCCCAAGTCTCCTAAATTAGGTCAACAAAATTTTGCTGTAGTTTGATATATGATGAATATCCCTCATGATATGATATTTTAAATAAATATTATATAATTGGGAGTTGAATTGTTTTCTTAAAGTTTGATGAGTAAAAATTATGTGATATTATTAATTTCATGCCACTCGCATTACAGTGTCGTGTGAGGCGACCTTTACTTGGAGCGGAAATCTTCCTATTCGCCTTTACGTTACGCCCACTTATTCACCAAAGGTGTTTCTTGGTGGGGTACCGTGGGACATCACCGAAGGTATGGAAAATATAATATTCTTGTACAAAAAGCTTCCATTTCACACAACATAAAAATGGATTGCTATAAGTGTATTGTAAAATCATCTTGCTTTTAGCATCTTGCAGCGTCATTTCATTTGACTTTCAAACCATACGGACTAGTTCGGGTGAAATGGCCAGGAAAAGACACCAAAGGACCTCGCTATCTTCTACGAGGTTGGTTGATATCTGTTATTACTGAATGTATATCACTTCATATAAAAGTATCTCATTATCTATATATATCAGTGGTTTTCAAAGTCTTTCTTTCTAGAATGAAATCCCAGTGAAACATCCCTAGAAAACCCTGTGCAGTAGTCCAATTGTCCTTTGATGTCTGAATTGTATGAACAATAAATATGAGGCCTAATAGGTGTTTGAATATATTCAAACAATATGATTTGAATAGGGAGGCGGGAACCCCTGAACTGTATTGGCGGAAACCTAGGGTGCCGCGGCGCCACGGTTGAAAACCACGCTCTGTATACACCATATGTCCATTAATATTCCTTACAGGCGCTAATTAAAAAGAGTGGCAACAAACATTTATGGCTATGACAGTATTTTCCATCACCCCCATTGTTTTTAAATTTACTCATTGATTGAATAAAAAATTGTGTGCAGCTGGATACGTTTATCTGCTATATTTCAAAGTGACAAGTCCATAAAAAGTCTCCTGCATAACTGTACTCGAGATGTCACAACCAACGAATGGTTATTTAGGCTGTCGAGTAGACGCATGCGCAGCAAAGAAGTGCAGGTATATTTTCTTGTCTCAATGTTGTTTAACATTCTAATTGAACTGCACTTACTGTTATTGCGAGTTTCGGTTTTTTTTTCAACCCCATTTTTTGAAAGAATTTTTGTTCGCGCTTTTCTCTTTGCACAAGGCAATGTATAGGTAGCCATTGTAATTTTACAACCAAATGTATGTACTATTCAAAAGCAGTGGGTTGGATGTCTCCGATTTTTACAGCCATAGCGATGCTAACCTTAACCACAAGAAGAAGTTGTAAAACTAAACAACATCCGCAAAGTAACTCGATTAACCCTCATGCCACCACCCGAAAAAATGAAATACAATTGAAAAGAAATCACTTTCAATGAAATATGTGATCAAACGCAACAACAAAATAGTATCAAATACACTCGAGAAGTGATTGTCTCCGCCAGCAAAATAGTTCATTTCATCTCTTTCAAATAGATGGAAACCATCCAATAGATTCAACATTGCAGTGGCCCCTGTCACTTTTTCTTGCACTTTTTGATTTCACTGGCTGTTTATTTGGCTGGAAAAAAAATGGCATAGCTGGTATAAAATGCAAACAAGTAGTTGAGTGAGAGATCAACATATGATATAACTTGATCTGCTGGGGTAAAATGATTCTATTAGCAAAGTGGTAGATTTATATTATATTCAATTCTCAGAAGAAGTTAAATTTATTATAGATCCTTTCTGAAGCTCGCAATTATATCTCCAAACAATGAAATACTAATTACTTAATTAAGTAGAGTTTAAGAACCTTATCAATATCAAATAAGGAAATCTCGCGCCACTTGAGCGTAAAGACATGTTTTTGAAAAGGGTATGTTTTTTCGATTTTTCACCTGTTCCGATATATGCAAATTGGGCTCTTTTCAGCAATGGATTCAGCATAATTATAAAATTTTGTTCCCGACGACTCAAGTTGTATTGTCTAGAGTTCAAGAACCTTGTCAATATAAATAATAAAATCTCGTGCCACTTGGGCGGAAAGACATGTGACTAAGATTTGAAAAGTGTATATTTTTTCGATTTTTCACCTATTCCGATATATGCAAAATGGGCTCTTTTCAGCAATGGATTCCCCATAATTATAAAATTTTGTCCTATTGTGTAGAGTTTAAGAAGCTTATCAATATCTAATAATAAAATCTCGCGCCACTTGGGCGGAGAGACATGTGACTAAGATTTGAAAAGTGTATGTTTTACGATATTTACTTTTAAAGTAATTACTCGTGCTGTATTTTTTTAGTTTTAAACTCATATTTATAAGTTGTTGTTTGATGATTTGCACTTTACATTTTTTCTGGCACGGTTTTATTATTTAAATTCACAGAAATACCGAATATAACTTTATTTTGGCATTTTTATTTTCATTTGCCTCTTTATTGCGTATGGGAATTTAGTTCCGCCTCCGAATCTGATACGATATTTGAACTTTTCGCTTGGTTGCACACAAAGGTCACCGTGAGAGTCACTTCACAGTGATGTAGTCCAGCGGTTCCTAACATTTCTACCCTAACGGACCGGTAAAATTAAATGTCCTCGCGGACCGGCAAAAAATTAAAGGACCTGAACAAAAAAGATTAACATATATTTGCGTATTATAATGTAATGGCACTCAATATGGTTCTAGACAAAAAAGGCACACTCAAAAACATTTCACACGAAGGAAAACTATCAAATAATGTGCCGGCCAAAAATTGAAATTAGTGACACATAAAATAATACCATATATTTGCGTAAGGAAATGCAGTGTTGGGCACCTATTATGCGTGAGAAAGGCACATATAAAACATCTCACATAGAAACTTAACTCAAGTGAGAATTTTGCTGCTGTTCCGTTTCCAATATAGGAATGTAAACGAAGCCTCAAAGAAGTTTATGCAACTCGTAGCTCTGCAGCGGCGTGCAGCCGATCTCTTTGCGTCGATCTAATTAAAGCTAGTGAAGAAAATGTTTTTTCGCACAACGCATAAGTAGCTGGTTGAAAATACGGACACCAGTTTGATGTCTAGATTACTTGGCGATGGGTATTCGTTATCAAGAGTTATCCAAAATTGTGACATTGATTCTTTTTTAGATCTGGACTGTAAAGTAGAATCACAATTCTAATCAAGCGTTTTCTTTTTCATCTGGTTTATCATATTAATCCCTCTGCAGTTGATCGACGCCTCAAACGAAATGAATTTACAATTACAAAGTCGTCGGTAACTTGGCACCAGGCTCAAAATCCTACTGTGCCTGCTCAAAATACTGGAAAAGATCTCTGCGGCCCATGCTTTTTCCCGCCTCTCGTAACCACCTGAAGAGTCGCAACCAGTGGCGTAGCCAGCCCAAAATTTTTTTTGGGGGGGGGGCCAAATTTGAAAATTTTAGAAATTATATTGGGTTTAAGACACCCCTTCTTCAAGCGCGAAACAACAACAGTTTATCAGTAAGCAAACTGATTCAACAACTCAGCTGGCTTTTTGTGAATACAAAATCCACCTCCATCAGAGAGTTGGGTGCAAACTAACCAACTGCAAAATCTGTCATCGTCAAGCCATTTTTTGAGAAATTTACGACGACTTTGTCTAACGGTATCCAGAATCGTCACGTTTTTCGGACCATTCGAAGTTAGAAGCCTGTATCTCTCCGCATCGATATGTTTCTTAAGAATAAATCCAAGATCATTTGTTTTCCCTTCTTTGAATATTAGTTTATCTTCGGGAATAGAAGTAATAGACGTAACGTTAACTGACGTAACCGGTGCATCCGCAGCCTGAGTAGCGCTCATTGATGTTTTTGAGGAAAGCGACTCTTTATTTCGCTGAAAATAACTATCGCATTTCGCCTGTTTACATTTAGCCGTGGAAGTAATTTGGTCATCAAAATCCAAGCGTTTCGAATATAAAACCGGCGAGAACAAACCAAACCGAGTAACTGACCGAAAGCTAACGAAACAGTCTTTCTCAAACTGCTCATAACAGCGAACGGCCAAGTCTTTGTGACGTAACAATGAGAATCAGCAAGCGTGACGAGACAAGATTGCCACAAAACTGGTGGATTAAGAATGGAATTCTCGAACATTTTTGGCCCCCCTCTGCCCCCCCCCCCCCCCACCCTAGCTACGCCTATGGTCGCAACGAGTTCATATCTTACTGAAATATTATACTGTTCTTGACAGTTTTCTGTTTTAAACAAAGAAATATGCGTAACGTTTTATATGGATGGTCATAGTAATCAGGAAAAGCATGCTAAACAGAAAAAGCACTCGTGCCGATTTCTAGGTTTCTGAATTTTTCGAGATTTGATGAAGCGCATCCGCGATGAATCGGAGCCGAAAAAGCGAAAAGTGTGATTACTCGGCGCCAAAATGTCGCGAAAGACGTCGCAATATGACGACGGAAGAAAAATTGCGTAATACTGTAATAAACCAACGCAGCCTCGTTTTTGGTAAAGCGATTGAGACGGCATAAAAACAACGAAATATCTCGCGGACCGGCGGTTGGGAACCACTGGTGTTAGTGGTGTAGGTGTAGACGACACATGAAGGCATACTGCTGCCTAAATGGCTGGACTGTCTAATGAAATAGCAGAAGTACCGTAATAAATAACCAATCCATTTCTGAAATGTTGCAATGTTGGGTATAACTGTGTAATAACAGTGTTGGGTATAATGTACCATTGTACCGGTACCATACTTACCTTTTAATGAAGCTTGAGATGGTTGAAAAAATAGTGGAGGTTTATGGGGTCTGGTATACGTATACCGTAGTTTAGCACCACATGCACTTCTAGGGTCTGGTATAGTTTAGTACAGTAGTACCACATCCACTTTTAGTTGGCCTGGCTGAACAATTTTTGCATATGTCAATCCCAACCCCCACCTGACTACGTCACCGAAAAATTACGTCATTCCGACGTCACAGTGCAGCAGTGGCGTAATAAGGCTCACCGAAGTATGCGGATGGTCGTACAAAACGCGCAGACGATAACCTGAAATCGAGCAAGCTATTTTTCTCGTCGCAACGATCACGATAGGAGAGAGATCGCCAGCTTTAGCAAGTTCTTATCGGCGGCGCAGATGCCGTTTTGGGCGATCGTAATTATACTTTGGCAATCCCTATGACGTGATGGTGATGTAATTTTTGGATGGCATAGTCAGGTGAGGGTTAGGAATAACATATGCAAAAATCGTTATGCTACGCCCACTGGAAGTACTTGTGGTACTAAACTATACTAGACCCCACTTCTAAGTTGGCCTGGCTCAACAATTTTTGCATATGTCAATCCCAACCCCCCACCTGACTACGTCACGGAAAAAATAACGTCATTTCGATGTTACAGTGGCGTAATAATCGTAATTATATCAATCGTAAATATACTAATTATATCAATCGTAATTATACTTTGGCACGTAGCATAACGCATTTTGCATATGTTATTCCTAACCCCCACCTGACTATGTCATCCAAAAATTACGTCACTACGACGTCACCATCACGTAATAAGGCTTGCCAAAGTCCAATTACGATTGCCCGAAATGGCATCGCGCCGCCGATAACGAACTATATCTATTATGTCAGATAGAACAGGTGTGTCAAACTCCCGAGCCGCATGCGGCCCCAGAGAACTTCCAATGCGGCCCTCAAACGCTTTACAATAATTGTAATATTTTGTGAGTTTTTTTTATCTAAATGTAATACATTTTTCAAACCTTTTGAAATGAAATTGATTATTTACACAGAAAACGACAATTTACTGAAATTAGTTTCGAAAATTTTTTTTGTCCATTTTTGACCCAATTATGAATACACCTCGAGCTAGCAAAAATATAGTTGCAAAAAAACACTTCAGGGATTAAATGAAACGCAAAGTACATGAGGAATGTGGCATTTTTGAAGAAAAGGGGGAGTTGCAATATTTCTGCATTTCTCAAAATTGTAAAGCACATTGTTTAATTTGTCACATTTACATCAGTACAATGAAAGAATACAATATAAGTAGACAATATGACAAATTTAAAGATCACCTTCGAACAGAAACATTTTTATGTGTGTATAATATTATAATTATACAACTACTTAGTTACTAAAAATCAATATCAATCGTAACTCAAGTGGTATGCCACGTAATGGTGGGAAATGTGTCAAGCGGTATGCCACGTAATGGTAGGAAATGTGGCGGGAAATGTCTGGTCCGAAAAGTCGGTCATTTTTGTTTGTTTACTGATTTATACATGAAATGATAAATGTAGTATTGTAATATTTGTGCAATACTGTAAAATCATTTCAGCCTGATATTATAAAACTGGTGGCACAAAAAGAGATGCCAAACGCCAAGACATATGTAATAAAAAAACATTGAGTTAATTATGTAATATTTTTGAAAATTTTAGGTCATATATTTTGTCATTTTTAGTGAATGTATTATTCTATCCTCATCAAAACTCTGTTCAAAAATCTTTTGGATAGTTGTACATAAAAATTTATGATTTTTTGTAATAAATAGCCTATAGTAAATTGCAATAATAGTGAAATGCAAAAATTAATATGTACGGTAAATGAAATTTAGGAAAATAACAAAACTGTATTTGGCTGTTTAATTGCATCACAATATATGTCACAAACCACACCTATTTAAAAATATGCTTCAAGTATACATTATCAAAAACTGTCTGCATCCCTTTGCACAATTTCCAAAATGCAATGCGGCCCTCGAAAACCCACGAGTTTGACACCCCTGAGATAGATAATTGCCCATATCTATTATTTTATTAGAATCCTTATCTGCTGTTTATCTGATCAAACAACCACCTGACAGAATTGGACTTACTGACTTAGGAGTAATACTTTTTTTTGCTCTATTCATTATAGTTCTGTAGTGAGCTCCATTAAATGGATCTAAAATACTTTCTAGCTTTACTTACTGGCGTACTTGAATGCCTACTATTTTCTGGAATATTATTTGGATGGGCTTCTTTAAATTATGTGCTGCAACAAGATGGATATTTCAGCAACCTTTGTGATGAATCAAATCAAACTTATCCACACAACGTGTCAAAGTCATCCAACAATATAGTCCCAACAGCAAGTGCTCTCAGCTATAACGCAACCGCATTACTTGATGTTGAAGGAATATCTTCGTATAATGGATTTAACACAAAGGAACCCACAAAACAAATTCATGAAGAAAATTTAGGTCAAATCATCACTTGTGATGCTCAATCTGAACAGCTTAATTTAGTCTTTACGATAGCCTCGTCACTACTTTCATTCTCTACATTGATCAATGGATATATATACGATAAATTCGGGACCTGGGTTTCACGAGTGATTTCTATCACCCTTTTTACCATCGGCTGTTTATTAATGATAGTATCCAATGTGGAATCGTCTTGGTTGCTTTTCCCAGCTATGACTTGTTTTGCGATCGGTGGAATTCTCATGTTAATGACTAATCTACAGATTGGAAATTTGTTTGGGCGATTCCGATCATCTGTGATCACAATGATGAGTGGTGCTCTGGATTCATCTTCTTTCGTTTTTCTAATGTACAAGATGCTGTATGATGAAGGTGTAAGTTTAAACACGATATTTCATGTCACAGCTTGGTGTACGATTTTCCTTTGGGTGAGAACTTTTATACTGTTACCAAGAAATCACATTCCTTTTCCTATCAAAAAAGATTATCAGTTTGGATTGGCAGATTGTAAATCCAGGAAGAAAGAATTGGAAATAATTGAAATGAAAGAAAATCAAGAAGTTGAAGCACTAACCGAATTGACTAATGAAAATCAGGAATCTACTTTTGCTGGTCCTGCCTCGTTTTATATAAAAAAGGGCTTGTATTGGAGTAACACCATGCATTTTTCACTCCTGCAACTAAGAAACTACTTTTTCATGAGTTCACTGGTAAATTGGCTCACTCCCCTCACTGGAGACTCAAACACTCTAAACTCCTACTTGGTAGCATTTGGAACATGTCAGTTGTTTGGTGTTGTGTTTGCCCCATTTAATGGATTGTTAATTGATGCAGCTACTCGAATTCTACGGAAAAATGCTAAATTTCCAGATTTGGTTCCTTTGAAGGCGGTTAGCTTTTCTGCTCTTGCTACCACTCTCCTTGGGACCCTATTCTCTATTGTTATTGTAATACCGTCCTTGCCTTTACAGTATGTGTCGTTCATTCTACAAGTCATATTCAGGTCATTTCTTTATGGTGGGAGCATGAGTTTTATTGCGATTGCATTTCCAGGACAACATTTTGGAAAATTATATGGACTCACAATGTGCGTCGGGGGCTTGTTTGGGTTGCTTCAGTTTCCGTTATTTGCTTTTGTTCTACGCAAAATGGATGGTGATTTTTTCATTATGAATATAATGTTTGTCTTCATTTCTCTTTTAACCCTCTTCCACCCAATAAGGATATATATGTGGTGCAAACAAAAGGCTAAAAAGTATGAGAAATCCATTGTAAATAAAACAGAGGAGGAAACTGATAAAAAATCTTAATTACTAGAGATTGACTCGTTGAATATATATTGTGACGTACTATAGGGTATTTTGTTACAAACCCAGTTTCAGATTTGAAATGTTAAATACATTAATATTGCTAAGATTTTTTGATAGGTTTTCTCAAAGCCCATATTAGATGTATAATTACTTTGTGTTCAGCAACTTTCCTTCTGTCAAGTTTTTTTGTTGAACATAGAAAAACATGAACATGTTAGTAATACTAAATCATAACACTAAGCGTGATGTTATTTTGCTGCTTATTGGCTAAATGCAAAGTTCTAAAGCTACTTTTGTACTAACTTTTTTCTGGTACAGAATCTTTACAATTATTTGCTGGTAATTATTTATTTTGATGTAATATATTTGTTTCTTTTAGTAAGAATTACCAGCTTCAAAGTGTGCATGCCTTTTATTTTTTCTAATTTGTACTGCTCTAGCATTAAATTCAAAATCGTACTTTTATATATTTAAAAATATGCTACAGTTTTCATAATTTTTTAACAGTAATACACATGACACTCAAAATACACAACACTGATTTCTGCTAAATTCTAATTGAATACTCAAAAAGACCATATTTTGAACACATGTGCTTCTTTATTTAGTTATTTTTATATTTTTATTGTTGTTAGATTTGATCTTGCACACCTTATTTTGGATATTTACATTTCCTATTTTGTCAGCCAAAAACAACTGCACCAATAAAAATAGCAACAATTTTTTCTTGTTTTTTAACTTTTCCTTAATTTTATTATTTACAGTCCATCCACGAATTTTTAATGTGTTTTTTGAAGAAACCTTGCTTTCGCCTCATTAACTGTTATTTGCAGCTTATTGTTAGCTAATTGTTTTTGAGGTGGGGCGCGAGACTTGACAAGTTCTTAAAAAGGGACACGGCTTACAAAGTTTGGAAACCATTGCCCTAGCTAGATGCATTACCAATGTCAACGAAGAGACTATTCTATTTTTATTGTTATGTTTCAATGTTGGCAGTCATATCTTTTCTCTCCTCATACTAATTGATTTTTACCGTGATATATATAATTTTTTAGGAATATGATAGATCAGGGATGTATTGATATTAATTAGCAGTTGTTTCAGCGACTGAAAATTAGAAAGTGAATAAAAGCTGTAGAAACCATTTGGGAAAATAAAATAAATTTGAAATCATGATTAACATTACTTTTTTGTTGTAAAAAATGATGTGGCTATGTTGAAAGGATACCACCTTCCGTTTCCAATCGCCATAGATTTTTTTCCTTCTTCATGTGCATAGACTTTAATGCATACTACATGAGAGTTTAGAGACACACACTCGGATGTTTTATATTAATTATTGTACAATGGTTGTTCATTATGTATTCTTCCTCAGTCCTTGAAACTTTGGTATCAAGTTTTTACGTTTTAAGCTAGATACCGCACCAGCCGAGATTTGTTGTGCTGCTAGATTTGGCCTGTACCTTTTTGTTTTTCCTTGTTCTGCTATGAGTTTGTTGTCTTCAATCATATGGTGCTATTTATTTTTTGTTTTTGATGCTTACACTGCATTGCAAGTGCCTTAATTTTCGTACTAAATTTTCAATGTTCAGAAATATTTCTTTGTCGATGTCATTTGTGAGCGAAAGATCTTTCAGAGCGTGTACCAACGGAAATCCGCTTTTGACAGGAGTCTTTGATGAATGATTTCAACGTCAATGATGTGATGTTTGTGCATAGCACTGCATATCTGTGTGCTGTTCAAAATCAGCAAGTTTTTTAGGATTAAGCTTCTAGATTTTTTCGCTCCAATTCGCCACACTTTAGTTAACATAAAACCGCTGTGGTTTCACACAGGCCAATAAGTTCGCCGAAGCATTGCTCGAGTTTTTGCATCATATCGCCAGATATTTTTAAAGGAGGGGGTTCTGAAGTTTCTATTTGCGAAGTTAGATCGAAGCTGTGAGCGGGTCCGGCCGAACGCCATGAAACGTGTGTTTTCATGAGTCTTGAGGGTCTAAAAAGCGTTTCAAGCTACAAAAAATTGCTACGTGTGATACAGAAAGGTGCTTTATTTTTTACATTTTAAAAGGAAGGGGGAAGAAAAACCTTCCCCTGGCTACACTCCTGTGCATCATCGATTGTAAATGAGCGCATATAAATTTGAATTTACATCATATCATCAAAAGTGGACACTTTATACCAGGTTTGGATTAGGCCATAATTTTATTCCTTGACTTAGTTCTATTACGAGTTCGGGGACTACCGAAGTGACTCCAGTGGTATTTGTACCTGAAATTATGGCCTAACCTGGTACACATACTACGTTCCGGTGTCCGCCATCTTGGTACGCATACTTTAAAAACGTCCTAGCAGGTGAAATAGCGTAAAACTGATTATACAAAAATTGCAACTTTGGAAATCCGAAAAACGATAAGCCGCCTAAAAACGTCGGTAGCTAATTCATTCGTTTATCATTATTCAAACTGCATTGAAATGCGGATAAAAGCCTTTGTCCACCGTTTCACAGATATAAAGATATCACGTGACTAAACGCCATATTGAGGTTTTCCAGAACGAATTTTGAGCAAAGCTGTGCAAAGAAATATTCTTTGCCCTAAATTTATCACTTTTATATTTATGTACACTTACTCCCTAGCTTTTACTTGTCCGCTTGTTTACTTACTTACTTGTCCATTACTTGTCTTAGAACCCCACGTTATAACGACCTAAAACATTTCGTGCCCATCAGTATGCAGAAGGCATCAACAAGCGCTTTAATTAATAGAAAGCACACCGAAGCGTACGACATCGGTGACGATATGAGTTTCGATGAAGTGGGTTGTTCAAACGTGTAAGCTTGGATATATATTCCTAAGATAATCTAGAGTTAATTTTACCTATTAGTAGGCTGGGTAATAGTAAGGTTTCATGATATATATATATATATATATACAACTCTTTCAAACGACGTTCGTCGAACCCCTGGAACAACTTCATCGAAACCCAGGGGTTTGATCGAACTCAGGTTAAGAAAAAACACTGCTCTGTACTATAGGATACATTTTTTGTGCGTTGACGTCATTGCGCTCCTTGTGGTAGTTCCGCTTTCGCGTAAGTTCAAATCTTCTGCGATACGGTACCGTTGGGCCACAGTACCGGTGATTTTCAATTTTGCGAAAATGTTTTTTGCGAATTTCTGTATCATGAAATCCAGAGGCACATTCATTGAAATTATTGTCCAAATCTGATTTGTAATGGTTGTTTTTCAACCGTTTTCGAACTTGCATCGCTTTTATCACATTCCTATACGGCTTTTTAGTTCCAGAATCGAAGACAGTACAATCCAGAACTTTTTCAGCATTTAGTCAATCTCGTAAAAATCGCTTATTTTATTACGAATCTCAACAATAGCAGATGTATCAAATTTCTTACAGATTCCCGAACTCAAGTAAGTTTTATACATTTGTGGTAGATTTTCTCCACTAACCAGAAAATCATTGGTAGTGGACTGTAGCAATTCGAGTTTGTTCGATTTCATTCGAAGTGTTTCTATCATTCAGGCTCTTTTCTGGCGACGAATATGTTTCGCTTGTATTGGGTAAATGATGATTTTCATCTGGTTGCTGTGCGGAAGAATTCTTCCCTGCAGATGCGGTAGATTTTTCCTTCGTAGCATTATGGTTCGGCGGTCCATTATCGTTCATGAATTTGATGCTGTTGTCTTTGAATTTATTATTCGGGTAACTATGATTTGTTTCAGAGCTACCTGAATTTCAGTTATTCGACTGTTTCTCAGTCAAGTACGATGACATTTGCTTATTTTCTGGCAGTAACTATTTCCCTGAAGCAATTTTGCCTTGACGTTTCGATGTCCGGGGAATAAATTTCCTAGACGATGTTTCGAGACGCGAGCATCATCAAAGTTTTGTCCTAGCAATTTAGCAATAAACGAAATCGAGAGTTTATCATGTCGAAGAAGTACGGTAAATAGCCTTGCCATCCTTTTAGTCCAAGGAAATGTGATTATCAAAAAAAAAAAAAAAAATTCCTGGGCTCTTTGAACAGATTATATAAAAATCCACCAATGTCCTTATCATAAACATGATTCTCCAGTGTGGAATCGCCATGAGGGATTCCGATGCTGCTCGAAAAATTTTGCTCTAAGATAAAGATTGTCTGCCTTCCTCTGATGAATGACTTCAGTGAAGATTAAAACTACAGATACAAAGTTAACGATGTCTGAAGTTGGGTATATGGTCCACCGACAAAAAATATGGAACACCCTTGTTCTAGATCAGTGGTTCTCAAACCGCGCCCCCTTTTTAAAATTTGTCAAGTCTCGCGGTACACCTCAAAAGTAACTAGCTAACAATAAGCTCTTTTATTCAAAAATGCGTTGGAAATACGTGAATGGAACTTTAATATTGGAAACTCTATAGATAATAAAGATACAAGCACAACAGCTCTCCGCAATCTCTAAGCCAGGTCGGAAACCTACGGCCCGCGGGCCAGATCCGGCCCGCGAAACTTCACACTGAATTATAGTTATATATTATATTCTTTACGTAACAGAATTTATTGCTAGACACGTGTAGACTGAATTATATTATAACCTAACAAGTATATAGTTCACAATTACTCGTTTAATGAGCCCATAATTTAATTATAATTAGTCAAATGACAACAAAACGCAGAAAAATTGATGCTAAGTGCAAAGGGTTCAATGGCGCCGAAAATATTCAAATGGAATTTTTTGAGATGTAATGCAATGAAGATCTATATTAATCTATATTCTATTCGAGAGATGTATCACTGCTTGATTTTTATTATAAAAAGTATCATACGTTCGGTTTTTAACTTTCTAAAAATATGTGCGACCCGCCAATGACTTGCAGCCCCTAATTTTGGCCTGCGAGCGACGAAAGGTTGCCGACCCCTGCTCTAAACGAGATGGTGCGCAAGATCATTTTTAATTATCTCCGAATCAACTCAAAAAATTGTCTATGACCCCTTTGCGGGGCGCGCTGCCTATTTACATGAGCTCACCTGTAACCCCGCTTCCGGTTCGGTGTCTCAAAAATGTCGTCCCTGTGCACATTCCCCACACTCGTCCCCTTTTGAACAAATTTTCCCTATATCTCCCACAGGAAGGAAGTATTACGGGAAAATAGCTGAATTTATCTGTGATTCGTGCTGTGCTATAGAGTAGAATGCATTTTCATAATACTTAGTACAGGAGGTTAGATAAGCATATATAGTGGTATTCAAACAAGAATGACATCACATTTTAGGACACTCTCCCTGGTTAGCAATAAAATGAATTCTCGATGATAAAGCAGTGGTATATGTATACTCATTACTGAGAAATTTTTAATCCAATAGGTTATCACATATCAAATGTAATGAAATCAATATAAAAATAAATATAATAAATATACAAACGTAAATAATTCAGACGAGGTATTAGATTAAATAAAACATTTCGATTAGTAAAAAAACAAACCTACATTTAAGTTGATTATTTAATAGCATGTATGTAAATCTAAAAATATTTAGGTATATGGGTAGCATGCCAAAATTAGAAATAGTGTAAATATTGTGCTTTTTTTCTTTATACCATTCTAAACTTAAAAAGGCCCGGACTACTAGAAAATTATAACAGAAGAGCATACAATAAGAAACTACCTATTTTGCAACAGCTATCTAGCACTTTGAACAAAAAAGATAACAATAAAATAGTGAAACTAGTATATATTAAAAACACCAACAAGATGAAGATGTGTTATTTCATGAGTCAGATCTCATGAAATTGGCAAAAAAAAAAAAAAACTAACAACACTTCTAGAAAAGCTTTAACACAATCAAGTATATTATTAAAAATACATTGATTACATAAATGATTACATATGAAAAAAGTTAATCTTACTATACTTGAATCAAACCTAGGTTCCGATTACTACAATCGTAAAATAGGTACGTTTCACTAAAATAAAACAATGTATAACTTTGAAAGTCTGTTAACTAAATAGTTGCATAAATCGGACAGTGATTATCAATAAATAAGATATACAATAATGTTAGTAATAAAATAGTCTACTTTATACAGCGATGTGTTACACAAACATACGTGAACAGTTTCTATTATATTTACTTATAGATAACATATGCCAAACTACTATAAAGCTCGACTTCTATCATTTCAGTATTTATCAGTTGTGCATTGTCTCAACTATTCTAACATATGTTAGAAAATACATATCATTTTACGCGATTCAAGCAATCACAGGTTATTCGTAGGGTTAATCCGATGTAGTCGCACTTGTTCCGCATTACCAATGTTCTCTGGGTGCCCAGCCAAGTACGTGGGCATAGTCTGTGGCATTCAACTGTAATAATGCGCGTAGGTTTGAAGTCTTTGCATTTCCATTTGTTCACAGTATAGAGAGCTGTTGGATTGTCAGTTACTGCCGGCACACCAAGTTTTTTACAATGTTCATCTAGCCATCTGAAACAAAGTGATATGTGGTTTAATTTATCAATTTTCAAAAAAAATAAATTTCTCAATTGTAAGTATTTATTAGTATACATTTTTTGTTGTTAGTCAGTCTCCACTGTTGCTACAGTCTA